TCTATGAAAAAAGGCACTCAGAAAAATTGAAAAATTGATAAATCACTCCAAATTGCTTAACACGATTTTATCTCAGGAACTATAAGTCCAAATGAGTTGAAATTTTCAGGGATTGAAGTCGTCTAATGAAATAAGAATCGCTGAAAATTACAGCTTTATATCTTTAATAGAAAAAAAGTTATGACCTTCCAAAGTTTTCCAAAATCTAAATCATAAGGTAGGTACCTTCTTACTAAATGGATGAAATTTCAAATTTTTTTCTGTTGAGATTTTGTGTCCTAATGGTGATTTGGGATCCCCCAAACTCCATACACTGAATTATTCTCAGATTTGAAACCGAAATCTATGAAAAAAGGCACTCAGAAAAATTGAAAAATTGATAAATCATTCCAAATTGCTTAACACGATTCTATCTCTGGAACTGTAGGTCCAAATGAGTTGAAATTTTCAGGGATTGAAGTCGTCTAATGAAATAAGAATCGCTGAAAATTACAGCTTTATATCTTTAATAGAAAAAAAGTTATGACCTTCCAAAGTTTTCCAAAATCTAAATCATAAGGTAAGGTACCTTCTTACTACATGGATGAAATTTCAAATTTTTTTTCGTTGAGATTTTGTGTCCTAATGGTCATTTGGGATCCCCCACACTCCATACACTGAATTATTCTCAGATTTGAAACCGAAATCTATGAAAAAAGGCACTCAGAAAAATTGAAAAATTGATAAATCACTCCAAATTGCTTAACACGATTTTATCTCAGGAACTATAAGTCCAAATGAGTTGAAATTTTCAGGGATTGAAGTCGTCTAATGAAATAAGAATCGCTGAAAATTTCAGCTTTATATCTTTAATAGAAAAAAAGTTATGACCTTCCAAAGTTTTCCAAAATCTAAATCATAAGGTAAGGTACCTTCTTACTACATGGATGAAATTTCAAATTTTTTTTCGTTGAGATTTTGTGTCCTAATGGTCATTTGGGATCCCCCAAACTCCATACACTGAATTATTCTCAGATTTGAAACCGAAATCTATGAAAAAAGGCACTCAGAAAAATTGAAAAATTGATAAATCACTCCAAATTGCTTAACACGATTTTATCTCAGGAACTATAAGTCCAAATGAGTTGAAATTTTCAGGGATTGAAGTCGTCTAATGAAATAAGAATCGCTGAAAATTTCAGCTTTATATCTTTAATAGAAAAAAAGTTATGACCTTCCAAAGTTTTCCAAAATCTAAATCATAAGGTAAGGTACCTTCTTACTAAATGGATGAAATTTCAAATTTTTTTTCGTTGAGATTTTATGTCCTAATGGTCATTTGGGATCCCCCAAACTCCATACACTGAATTATTCTCAGATTTGAAACCGAAATCTATGAAAAAAGGCACTCAGAAAAATTGAAAAATTGATAAATCACTCCAAATTGCTTAACACGATTTTATCTCAGGAACTATAAGTCCAAATGAGTTGAAATTTTCAGGGATTGAAGTCGTCTAATGAAATAAGAATCGCTGAAAATTTCAGCTTTATATCTTTAATAGAAAAAAAGTTATGACCTTCCAAAGTTTTCCAAAATCTAAATCATAAGGTAAGGTACCTTCTTACTACATGGATGAAATTTCAAATTTTTTTTCGTTGAGATTTTGTGTCCTAATGGTCATTTGGGATCCCCCACACTCCATACACTGAATTATTCTCAGATTTGAAACCGAAATCTATGAAAAAAGGCACTCAGAAAAATTGAAAAATTGATAAATCACTCCAAATTGCTTAACACGATTTTATCTCAGGAACTATAAGTCCAAATGAGTTGAAATTTTCAGGGATTGAAGTCGTCTAATGAAATAAGAATCGCTGAAAATTTCAGCTTTATATCTTTAATAGAAAAAAAGTTATGACCTTCCAAAGTTTTCCAAAATCTAAATCATAAGGTAAGGTACCTTCTTACTACATGGATGAAATTTCAAATTTTTTTTCGTTGAGATTTTGTGTCCTAATGGTCATTTGGGATCCCCCACACTCCATACACTGAATTATTCTCAGATTTGAAACCGAAATCTATGAAAAAAGGCACTCAGAAAAATTGAAAAATTGATAAATCACTCCAAATTGCTTAACACGATTTTATCTCAGGAACTATAAGTCCAAATGAGTTGAAATTTTCAGGGATTGAAGTCGTCTAATGAAATAAGAATCGCTGAAAATTACAGCTTTATATCTTTAATAGAAAAAAAGTTATGACCTTCCAAAGTTTTCCAAAATCTAAATCATAAGGTAGGTACCTTCTTACTAAATGGATGAAATTTCAAATTTTTTTCTGTTGAGATTTTGTGTCCTAATGGTGATTTGGGATCCCCCAAACTCCATACACTGAATTATTCTCAGATTTGAAACCGAAATCTATGAAAAAAGGCACTCAGAAAAATTGAAAAATTGATAAATCACTCCAAATTGCTTAACACGATTTTATCTCAGGAACTATAAGTCCAAATGAGTTGAAATTTTCAGGGATTGAAGTCGTCTAATGAAATAAGAATCGCTGAAAATTACAGCTTTATATCTTTAATAGAAAAAAAGTTATGACCTTCCAAAGTTTTCCAAAATCTAAATCATAAGGTAAGGTACCTTCTTACTACATGGATGAAATTTCAAATTTTTTTTCGTTGAGATTTTGTGTCCTAATGGTCATTTGGGATCCCCCACACTCCATACACTGAATTATTCTCAGATTTGAAACCGAAATCTATGAAAAAAGGCACTCAGAAAAATTGAAAAATTGATAAATCACTCCAAATTGCTTAACACGATTTTATCTCAGGAACTATAAGTCCAAATGAGTTGAAATTTTCAGGGATTGAAGTCGTCTAATGAAATAAGAATCGCTGAAAATTACAGCTTTATATCTTTAATAGAAAAAAAGTTATGACCTTCCAAAGTTTTCCAAAATCTAAATCATAAGGTAGGTACCTTCTTACTAAATGGATGAAATTTCAAATTTTTTTCTGTTGAGATTTTGTGTCCTAATGGTGATTTGGGATCCCCCAAACTCCATACACTGAATTATTCTCAGATTTGAAACCGAAATCTATGAAAAAAGGCACTCAGAAAAATTGAAAAATTGATAAATCACTCCAAATTGCTTAACACGATTTTATCTCAGGAACTATAAGTCCAAATGAGTTGAAATTTTCAGGGATTGAAGTCGTCTAATGAAATAAGAATCGCTGAAAATTACAGCTTTATATCTTTAATAGAAAAAAAGTTATGACCTTCCAAAGTTTTCCAAAATCTAAATCATAAGGTAAGGTACCTTCTTACTACATGGATGAAATTTCAAATTTTTTTTCGTTGAGATTTTGTGTCCTAATGGTCATTTGGGATCCCCCACACTCCATACACTGAATTATTCTCAGATTTGAAACCGAAATCTATGAAAAAAGGCACTCAGAAAAATTGAAAAATTGATAAATCACTCCAAATTGCTTAACACGATTTTATCTCAGGAACTATAAGTCCAAATGAGTTGAAATTTTCAGGGATTGAAGTCCTCTAATGAAATAAGAATCGCTGAAAATTTCAGCTTTATATCTTTAATAGAAAAAAAGTTAGGACCTTACAAAGTTTTCCAAAATCTAAATCATAAGGTAGGTACCTTCTATTACTAAATGGATGAAATTTCAAATTTTTTTTCGTTGAGATTTTGTGTCCTAATGGTGATTTGGGATCCCCCAAACTCCATACACTGAATTATTCTCAGATTTGAAACCGAAATCTATGAAAAAAGGCACTCAGAAAAATTGAAAAATCGATAAACCACCCCAAATTGCTTAACAACACGATTTTATTTCTGGAATATAAGTTCAAATGAGCTGAAATTTTCAGGGATTGTCGTTCTCTACTGGAATAAAGAATTGCTGAAAATTTCAACTTTCTATCTATAATAGAAAAAAAGGTATGAAAAAACCAAAACAGCGACATTTAAAAAGGCGATAGGTATCTTAAGAGAACAGAGAAAGTAGGTAGGTACTTGGTATATGCTAATGCTTCAAGTATTTACAACATGTTTGAAGGTTATAATACTACACTAACGAAACATTTACTACTGTTTGTACTTAGTAGTAGCATACGCTATGAAGAGTATAATATAAATGATTCGTTAAGGGTCTCATTCACGTTGAGATCGGTATCGAAACATGTTTTGCGACTGGCAGTGCTACATGTATCTGACTATCTGAGATCTGTATCCATATGTTTTAACTGCTCATACACGTTTAGATGAGCTCAGGAAACATGTTGGAAACAACACTGTTAATATTTCAATAGCTTATTGATACATAATATAATAAACTTCTTTATACACGTTGAAACAAGTACCTATCAGTTGCATGCGCTGGGTATTGAAGTTTCAGTAGAGTAATACAGACAAGATACTGATACTTGAAACATGTATCGATACCAATCTCGACGTGAATGGGGCTCTTTAGTGTAGTTAGTATGTTGTAATGTTGTAAATACTTGAAGCATCAGTCAGTACCTATATTACTTTTTATGCATTTCCACATTCCATCCATTATCGGAGAAAAAGTGACATTTAAATGAACAACTTTATTTACAAATAATTAGTGATGAGTAATATGAATGAATAATTATTAATGACATCAACCAAATTGAATCGATAACGATAATAATTAAGAAAATGCTCAATATTCATCGTATAATTTTATATAGTGAATGTTATCGTGAATGATTTCTTCTCTATAAACAAAACGGACAAATTAAGACCCAACTAATTAAAAACCCGATTTCAAATTCTCATACACACAGTCTCCCAGTTCCATCGAGGTCAATTCAATTCAATTTTCCGAGAAGTCGAAAACGATAATAAAAATTTTAAAAGGACCCCAAGAAGACCCTACCTCTCTGAAAACCCAATCCGAATTCAAGCAAGTGCAAAAAGGACAGAGCCATACAAAATATTAACATTCCGATGAATGAAAGAAAAGAAAAGCAAACCCAAAGACGTCGCTGTGTCTGGCCTAGCCTGCCTGGCGACAGCTTGTCTGGCGTGATCACAGCCGCGTTGCCACTTATTAAAATTCCTTTGTCGATTTTGATGTTAATTTGTTGTTTCAATGTTTTAATTCTTAATAAGGGTTATTTTTTATTGTTTTAAATTAGGTTTTTGTAAAAATTAAGGTAGATTAGGATTTATTTAAGGGTTTAATTGAAAGTAGGCGAATGTTGGTTGTGTTTGGCAACAGCGCAGCCAAACTTGTTTTACAAACGGATGTCGTACCACCCAACGTGATCGTCGAGTAAAGAGAGACGGTCCGATCGAGGCGCCGCTGCGTCTACGTGCATCAGACAGAGAGGGTGCCGGTGGGCATTTCCTCCACATAACATTCAGCTTTTACAGTTTTAGTCAGGTTGGCGAGAGGGGGAATTCTTCGAACATCGCGATCGAAAATGGTGGCTACGTAGCCCGCACAGTGCTGAATCTCCATCGTTTTTCTTAAGTTTTTCGCGTTCTATTTTAATTTAATTAGTGCAAACCGAGGTGAAAATGGCCCACGGACTTAGTAGCGTCATAAAACGTGCCGCCGTGCAGTGCAAACCGGAAGGTAAAACGGGCGTGGGATCTCGCAGGATTTTTTCGCCACAATTCAAATTGCAAGTGCTCGACTCGTATCGTAACGATACCGATTGCAAAGGCAATCAACGTGCTACAGCCAGGAAATACGGTATCCATCGTAGACAAATCCAGAAATGGTTGCAAGTGGAAAATACGTTGCGGAATGGGGTAAGCGGAAAGCCACAACAAATGGCCTTGAACGGCCACAGACAGCGAGACGACGATCAACGGCACCGAAGCGCCAGCTTGGCTGCTAGTACTACCGAGGAGGCGCGCGTTCCTACTCTGGAGCCCCCTACCGGTTGGCGTCAACACCATCAACAGGCGCCTACTACTTGTATGGTACCTATCGACCTGTCGCTTAAAAAACAACCACTTACCCCTACACCACCTCCAACTGCTACTGTTCATTTGCATTTGGAACCATCCCCTAGTCCAGAAAATAGACTAGGCCTGCACCCGGACGTTTGGGATTTGTCCACTAAACCTGCAACCGAAAAAAGAAAACTAGAGCACGATGACAACCCCAACAAAAAAGTCAAACTTTTCAAGCCATACTTATTAGATGACATCAAACAAGAACCAGACCAAAAAAGTCCTTCATCGCCGCAAATGTACTGTTGTCAACCTTCGCCCGAAATCTACTTCAACAACAACAACATTGAATACCATCCAGCTTATACTCTACATGAACTCCAACCAAAAACCTTCTACCCTTGCTACCCTTACTACACAAACGAATATCCTAATTTAAGTCCCACTTATCATCCCTCTTACAGTCTCGATTTTAAATTCGATTGTTATTATCAAGATTCTTTGTGCAAGGGCAACCCTAGAGCAGTTTTGACCAAGTACAATAACATTTTAAGGAGCGAAATCAAATCAGAAAAAGACATACAAAATGTTAGGTAAAACAAATAGTTGCCTTTTCAACTATATATGGGTGCTAAATCTTTTTTCAAATTATCATTCAAATAAAGTGTGCCTTTTTAGTCTTAAGAATCAATGTGCCAAAAAAGAATATTTACAATTAGGCAGCTATAATTTACCTGAATGCAATACTTAATTGGTTTTTTTTTTGTCCCTGAAAACCGTTCCTTAATTATTAATATTGCAAATATCTTCATTTTGCCATAGTTTTTTAGATATTATTAACAAATAATCCATTGCAAAAGGGATTGTTTGCAATTAAAACATATATGTGATTTAGGTTTATTGTACATATTTATTATATAAATAAATGAGAAAATTATGAAACTAAAAATATATTTTTAAGAGAAAAAAATACTGTTTTTTAATATATATTTGACTAATAAAAATTTGTATATAAATAAATATTAATCTGTAAAATTATTTAAAAATGCAGCTCAACCAGTAAAGTAAGCAAAACTAAGTTTTGTAATAATTATATTTTATATTTGAAAATTTTTATATTATTAAAAATTATATTATAAACCTACATTAAATTGTGTTTTATTTTCAAAAGATGAGTCACATTACCTACGTGACTTAAAAATGGTGTGTAATCTATAATGACAAATCATCACTGATAATTTAATGAACAAAGAAAATAGCAAATAGAATTTAACCTTTGATAAACACGCTGATGCCAAAAAAAAACATTACGCAATTTATTATAGAATCGAGTTTTTTTCATTAACTCTCAGCACAAATAATAAAGTGTAAAATAGAACAAAGAAAGAGCGCTTTTCCAAGTAATACTATAAATAACGGGCTTTGTCTTTGTGATGGGTTTCTCGTAATAATTGGTTGCGACATATTTATTTTGTAGCTATGAATGTGACAACTATAGTCATCTAGTGAAAAATAATTAAATTGCACTTTTGTAGACTTAATTCAAGTATATGTTTTTATGCTATTGAATCCTGTAATTGTTATTATATAATTAGTTTCATAAAGGGATAAAGTAACTTATTATTAAAACACTGGGGGATGGTTTCTATAACTTGAGCAATCATTTTTTTCCAAAACATTCAAAAATAAATCATCCAAAACTAATCTATAAAAATTTCCAGGTTCCATACCTCAACATTCAACAGGGGGTGCTGCATAAATAATAAAAAATCTTCAATTTCAAAAGTCTTAACTTTGTATTGTATAGGAATATGTTATTCTGAAATCTAACACAGGATTTTATTGTCTCTTAACTGGTTTGTAAAGAATTTAATTGGCTTTGATTAGAGATTAATTACATTAAAATCGAATGAAAATTAACGGAGCTGTGAAGCAAAAACTGTCTCAGTGTCATTTTTGGAAAATTTTCAATGTTCAATAAATTCACTTTTGAACCTTCTCAGGTGCAAAACTGTTGAAACCAAATCAAAATCGTAATTTATGAGTTTGTAGAGAATTTAATTAGAACCTAATTAAATTGAAATTAGATAAAAATTAACAGAGCTGTGAGGCAAAAATTCTCTCAGTGTAATTTTTGGAAAATTTTCAATGTTTGATAATTTCAATTTTGAAGCTTTTCAGGTGCAAAATTGTTGAAACAAATTTACAATTTTGATAAACACAAAACCCCTACAAAATACGATAACCTGCAAAAACCCAATAGAAAAAACTGGTAATTTTTGCCAACCCTGATAAATAAAAAATATTAGTTATAATAATCTCGTGAAAGAAGTTTTATGGACCAATACAGAACTTACATAAAATATTATTAATTTCATTACTGCACAGAGGGTCTCACAAAAAAGTTGAAAATTCTACCAATTTACCAAAAAAATCTTTCACTTTTAACTGAATCTTGGCCAATAGTTTTTTCCTAAAAAAAAGCCAATTCGCTTAAAAAAATTCTCAAGCTTTCCTTTACCCTGTGTTGGACATTTTTTAATTGGTAAATCTTGAGAGGTAGGTACTTACCTTCTTACTAAAACGATGAAATTTCAAAAAAAAGTTTGTCGAGATTCTGTATCCTAATGGTCAATCAACATCCCCCAAACTCCGTACACTAAATTAATCTCAGATTTTGAAGCCGAAATCTATGAAAAAGGCACTCAGAAAAATTGATAAATCACCACGATTTTATCTCAGGAACTATAAGTGCAAAAGGCACTCAGAAAAATTGATAAATCACCCCAAATTGCTTAACACGATTTTATCTCAGGAACTACATATAAGTGCAAAGGAGCTGAAATTTTCAGGGATTGTAGTACCTTTATTGGGATAAAATTCAGTAAAAGTTTCAAATTTTCTATCTTTAATTGAAAAAAGTTATGAACTTTCAAAGTTTTCCAAAATCTAAATCATACTTCTTTACTAAAACGATGAATTTTCAAATTTTTTTTTGTCGAGATTTTGTATCCTAATGGTTAATCAACATCCCCCAAACTCCGCATATACTAAATTATTCTCAGATTTGAAGACGAAATCTATGAAAAAAGGCACTCAGAAAAATTGAAAAATTAATAAATCACCCCAAATTGCTTAACACGATTTTATCTCAGGAACTATACGTATAAATGAGCTGAAATTTTCAGGGATTGTAGTCCCTAGATTGGGATAAAATTCAGTGAAAGTTTCAGCTTTCTATCTATAATAGAAAACAAGTTATGATCTTTCAAAGTTTTCCAAAATCTAAATCATAAGGTAGGTTAGGTGCTCCTAAATACTCCAAGAAAAAATAGAATTGATTAATTATTAACTGAGTTACAGATTTTTTTTTAATTATTAGAGGACTGCTCACTTTACGTTCACTTGTTGGTGTGTCAGAATGGCAAAAAAACTTCGGGATCTATATAATAATTAGGTGCTTTTTAGGTGCTAATTAGGGCCTCTAATTAAAAATTAGGTGCTCCTCTAGTTTTTGAGAAAATCAAAAAAACTAAGGGATTGCTAGGTTTATGAAAGCTAGTGGTCCCCTATAGTAAAAAATATTTTTCCAAAATTTTCTTTTGTATCAGAATTAGGTGCTTTTTAGGTGGCTCTTAAATAGTCTAAAAAAAAATAGAATTGATTAATTATTAACTGAGTTACAGATTTATTTTCAATTATAAGGGAACTGCTAGCTTTCATAAACCTAACAATCCCTCAGTTTTTTTTGATTTTCTCAAAAACTAGAGGAGCACCTAATTTTTAATTAGAGGCCCTAATTAGCACCTAAAAAGAACCTAATTATTATATAGATCCTGAAGTTTTTTTCCATTCTGACACACCAACGTGTATACGTGAAGCCAGCAGTTCCCTAATAATTAAAAAAAAATCTGTAACTCAGTTAATAATTAATCAATTCTATTTTTTCTTCGACTATTCAGGAGCACCTGAAAAGCATCTAATTCTGATACAAAAGAAATTTTTGGAAAAATATTTTTCACTATAGGGGACTACTAGCTTTCATAAACCTAGCAATCCCTTAGTTTTTTTTTATTTTCTCACAAACTAGAGGAGCACCTAATTTTTAATTAGAGGCCCTAATTAGCACCCAAAAAGCACCTAATTATTATATAGATCCTGAAGTTTTTTTCCATTCTGACACACCAACATGTAAACGAAAAGCCAGCAGTCCCCTAATAATTAAAAAAAAATCTGTAACTCAGTTAACAATTAATCAATTCTATTTTTTCTTCGACTATTTAGGACCACTTAAAAAGCACCTAATTCTGATGATGCAAAAGAAAATTTTGGAAAAATATTTTTTACTATATATAGAGGACTACTAGCTTTCATAAGCCTAGCTAATCCCTTGTTTTTTTTCTTTTATTTTCTCAAAAACTAGAGGAGCACCTAATTTTTAATTAGAGGCCCTAATTAGCTAGGGTTTCCATAAAGGTTTTTCGAAATTCAGGACAACGGAGTCAAGAAATCCGGACTAAATCGGGACTTCGCCGAAATAGCCATTTATGCAACAAGTGTGTAAAGTGAAAGACAAGTGCGACAAAATTCACAATCGTGAAAAAGAGTTTATTTTACACAATTATTGTAGATAAAAAAATTTTACTACCAATAAAATATGTATATGTAAAAAAATAAATTTAGACAAATACTTTACGTACTAGTACGTAAATCCACATCTGTCATTGACAGTACTCCACTTCACGCAGTAGTGTGTGAAGTGAATTATTTTAAGTGTACTAATGCGTGAAGTAAAATTTTACGTCTTTTGAATAGTGTGTAAACTGAGTGAGTACGAGTGTTTTCACGATCTCCAAGTTTTCCGGACATTGTTCCGAATTCCGGCCGGACTTCCCCGGACACCCTAAAAACCCAAACATGTCCGGGTAAATCCGGACGTATGGAAACCCTATAATTTTATAATTAGCACCTAAAAAGCACCTAATTATTATATAGATCCCGAAGTTTTTTTCCATTCTGACACACCAACATGTAAACGTAAAGCCAGCAGTCCCCTAATCTAATAATTAAAAAAAAATCTGTAACTCAGTTAATAATTAATCAATTCTATTTTTTCTTGGTTTATTTAGGAGCACCTAAAAAGCACCTAATTCTGATACAAAGAAAAAATTTTTTTTTTTTGATTTTCTCAAAAACTAAAGGAGCACTTAGTTTTTAATTAGAGGCCCTAATTAGCACCTAATTATTATATAGTTCCCGAAGTTTTTTTCCACCTTGGGACTGCTAGGTTTATAGACCTAATATCAACATACATGATATATTTGGAATCAGAAGAAAAAAATCTATCATTCTAGCTAAAAATATACAGGGTGTTCCATTTGAAAAATGCAATTGTTTGTCATTGTTACAGTTGGCACCTGTAGGTAATTTCTTACTAAAACGATGAATTTTCAAATATTTTTTTGTCGAGATTTTGTATCTTAATGGTCAATCAACCCCAAACTCCATACACTAAATTATTGAATGAAATCTTTCACAGGAAAATTTTCATATGTATATAAATTTCAAACAAAAACGCAACAGTAAGATAGTTAGAAATACATAATAATAAATAAGACAAACAAATTTAATAAAGCACATATTATAAAAAATTATCACAATAATTTGTTCAAAGTATAATCATTTTACTGTATGCAAAAATTACACAAACTGAAAAATAATACATAATAATAAAGCACCTTATAAATATGGAAATAGTGCTAAAATTATATTTACCACAAAGCACAAAATTGGAATCTACTTAAACTATACATAAATGCAAAAAATTATCTGGATAACTTAAATGCTCAGACATCCATTGCAGAGGTGTTTCCAATGGAGGAATCATTCCATGAATTTTAGCAGTTACTAAAAAAAAAACAAATACAAAAAATTAATCCACACATTGTCCATATTCACCATTATCCTTATCAGGAAACAATTCATTCAACAGATCGTTTAAAGTCTTCCTTTTCCCATCATCACCTACAGGTTTTACCAATTTTTGCCTGTACCCATCTTCAATGTAACATCTGAAGGGAATGTACTTGAAATAATCATTTTCCCCAGAAACTTCCATCAGTTTTCTGTTGACCGCCCAAAACTGATCAAACTTGTCGTTTTGCAAGCCCAACCATAACTGATTGTGGTCTTTTTTTTGCATATTACTTGCAATTTGTCCTCGATGTTTTAGAACATCTGCTTCTTTTAGACAAGCCATGAAATATGATTCTACTGTTTCCCTATAATTGTCATTACTTTAAGAAATTATACATTTGAATGGAATCAGGAAAGCAGAAATAAAAAATGTTGATTGCCATCCTGATTTATTTAAGGGACTGGATACTCGTCCGATAATTGGAATGATAGTGTTTTTGTTTCTATTCCGATTATCGGGCTACTAGTTTCTTTTGTTATTATTCCGCAAAATAATTTAAGAATTTACCTATCACCGAGCCTACCATTTAATATATTATTTACGGACTATTAGGATTTACTCATATTATTCTGAAAATTATTTATGGTTTGAAATAGGTTAGGTTCCCTTAGATTATGTTGATTTGTGCAAGTATTAGAAAGTAGAATTAGAATTATTACAACACTATAAATTCAAAAAACCTGTTAGAACAAGGGAAAAGTCTCAATTTTTATAATGAAGTAGAGTTTTGAACACAGTTGAAAAGGAGTTACTAATATCCCTATATAAAAGAGATGCTGAAAAATTGCAAACAATTGCAAAAAGTAGAATACTCGGTGGTAAAAGATTTAAACTCGGATTTAAATCACTTAGCAAAGGCATGCGAAAATCAAGAAAATTACTTCGTGAATCATAATATCAGTCAAAGATAATTGTATTTTCGGAAGCTGTGAAAAAAAATTAGGGACAAGCTGATTTTTTCAGGATTGTTTAAGAGGGGTGTCCTTAGTGTAAAAACACCGGAGTCAGAAACTTTCCTCTTCCGCGCCCTTGCCGCCCTTAACTATAGGGGTTGTTTCTCAACATTGTGCTACAATGTAATTTTTGGTCTCTAATAGACCTATCTCGCATGATTAGAAAAAGAGAGTTTAATTGTAATAAATACAAGTTAGAAAGCAATAAAAGATGACATGCGCGTGCCACTCGTAGGCTGCTGTGTAGCCAGATTGTATTGTTGCAGAATAAATGTAGACAATACAAATCGAATATTGGCTGTTTTCGATTCGCTTTGGTCCGTCATCAAGGCAAACCAAATTAGAACCAACCATTTTCGATTGCAAACCGGTGACGTGACAGGCATCGCTTGGTCCGTCTAAATTCGAACCAGCTTCGCAAGTTGGTTCGAATTTTGGTTTGAATTTCGGTTTGCTTTTATAACCTTAAAACATGGCGCCTTTTTTGACAGACCAAATTCAAAAGATGTCAACCAACTTCTGTCACATCCGAACCAACCAAGGCCGAACCGATTGCGAATCGAAAACGGCCATTATAACATTAAAGAAGTGATATAGTGTCAAGTGTTTTACAATGCCTTATATCAGACAAAAGAAGAGTTTTAAAGTGGATGAACATCGTTTGCACTTTTATTTTGATAAATGTTTCCTCCGGCAACATGGCTCAATGAAATTGCAAAGGAATATGTCAAGTATAATCTTAAACGAAACTGTGGTGAGTTCAAGTAATATGTAAAGAATTAGTTTGCTCTTTGTCAAATTACACATTACAAAGAAATAAGGAACAATTCATTCTGAACTGGCCCCTGAAAAAGAATATGACGCAAGCCTGTCACAAACTTGCTTCTCATTGGACGCTCACCTGCAGCCTACAAGCGACGCGCGCAGTCCAGGTAATAGGAGATAGGTCTATTAGGCAATCCACAGATTAGGCAATCAAACAACCTGTCAAAAAAGGCGCCTGGTTGGCAAACAATAAACAAAAAACAATGGCTACGTTCACCAGAACCAAAACGGATTGTAAACAGTTTACAAATACCAACAGAATATGTTGGGTAAACTCTTTTTGTTCTGCTGAACGATTCAACCACAGAACACATATCCTCACGGATAGAAAAAAAAGCTTAATGGAGGGCGGGGCCTAAAAAAAAGCTTCGGATCGCATCCGCTTGGGGACGCTGGAGTGAAACACAATTACAGGTGCGGAATGAAGGTCACTGTTTACTTTTGCAGTTTACCCAATGAGATTTAATTTATCTCGTTTACCTGTTACCTATGTGTCAAAAAAATATGTCAAAATAATTCTGAATAAGAATTTGTCTTAGTGTTGGTGTGCATTTTAAATCCAGAAAAATGCTTATTGAATTTAAAAAAAAATCAGATCTTACACAAAACCCGCGAATGGCTAAATTCAGCTGGTGTAGGTACCGTGGTGGAATGGGTAGAAAAAGCAGTGTTAAGTTGAACAGGATTTGCCAAACTACTGGGCATTGGCATTAGTGAAAATCGTAATCACCGCATCCGTGGCAGTGCAACATTTTGCTGAATTTAGCCACACGCGGGACACAAACACAAGAAGTTTTGGCCGTTTTTGCTCTACTCGGAAGTAGAAGCCGTCGAATCGAATTCGACTATAATGAGGAAAAATCATTGGGAAAAATTAATACATATCGAAAAAATTGACATTGGGTGAACCATTTTGACAGTTTATTTGATTACAGAAACCTATATTATAAATAGTTCGGATCGCATCCACAGCGCTGTGACGGCGCATTGTTCCCCAAAATTTTATTAGGCAGTTTGCCTTCTATCCGTGAGGATATTTATTCTGTGGATTCAACTTTTCAATGGCTACGTTCACCAGAACCAAAACGGATTGTAAACAGTTTACAAATACCAACAGAATATGTTGGGTAAACTTTTGGTTCTGCTGAACGATTCAACTTTTCAATGATAGAACGTCACCTTCTGAATGACAGGTCACCACACAAAACACAGTGTTGAAAATTATAAACACTCTGAAATTATGCTTTCAAAAATGGCGACCGTTTGCAAAACATGTTTGGTTTTAACACAAATTCAACGTAGTGTTCAGCAGAACAATCGCAAACCATTTACCAACGTTTGTATCTGGTGAACGCGGCCAATGATAGAATGTCACCCTCTGAATGACAGGTCACCACACAAAACACAGTGTTGAAAATTATAAACACTCTGAAATTATGCTTGCAAAAATGGCGACCGTTTGCAAAACATGTTTGGTTTCAATATAGATTCAACATAGCGTTCAGCAGAACAATCGCAAACCGTTTACCAACGTTTGTATCTGGTGAACGCGGCCATTGTTTTCAAAGGTTCAAAGAAAAATGATAAAATTCTACCTGAATGTGACAGATTCAATGACAGATTAGTGATTAGTGGTTCAATGCAAACCATCCTTTGTTTGCCAACCAGAGGCATTATTCTTGACTTTATCTAGGTAGAAAATTTGACATTGTTGACAAATTTTCTCTCAAGAATAAGGCCTCGGTGCCATGAATAGTCATGTGGTTTGGATTGCCTAATTATAGATAATCGGATTCTCTACTACTTTTTCCCATCCTAACAAACTTTGATAAAAACACCCTTTTTGGTTTCATATGGAAACTGCGTGTCTGCTGGTAAAAAGATACTTATTTTTTTTTTTAAATGCATTAGGGCCAAATTATGGACTGACTGGTAAATGTCTGGTTTTTACCTAGCAGGTACTTTATATGCTCGAGATAATGGAAAGTACCTGCTAGGTAACAACCAGGCACTTACCATTTGGTCCATAATTTGGCCCTAAAAAAATTATGTTAAATTACTTGACTGGCTGCTTTTTCGTTATAAAATCGCCATGCTCAAATCAACATTGTTGTTTTCCGAGAATAGTGCCTGACTAGGGCTTAAAGTAATGTTCTCATATAAACTGGACTGCAATTTTATCATGATAGTAGTTTTCACTTACTACTTTTTTCTAAAAATATAAAAATGTTCCGAATAATATGCGTTAAATGCTATTAGTCTGAAAATTATAAGTGAACATTTTGCGGAACAATAACAAAATAAACTAGTAACCCGATAATCGGAATAGAAACAAAAACACTATTATTCCGATTATCGGACGAGCATCCAGTCCCTTTATTTAATGTTACATACTTGTTACTAAATCTGTAGATTTGGGTTTCAGGAAATTTATCAAAGTGTACTGTAATAACCCATGGTAGAGCTTCGTGATCACTGTCAACCATGGAATCATATAAGACTCCAATGGGAAAATGCCATTTCATAGGCTGTGCACTGTATTCAAGCCACATTTCATGTTCTTGGGTGTCGCTGGATACATATTTGATGAAATGTTTTCTCACTTTGTCTGTAACTATAAGAACAGTGTTAAATGATGAGAAATAAATAAAAACAGCTTTACCTAATGGAAAGTAACTCAATCTTGGTACCATCAAATAAAAAGGGTCTGGTTGTTGTAGTTCGACGACTTCGTCCGGATCCAATTTGAAACAAACTGGAAGTTTTCCTTCCCACACTTCCCTAAGGATTTCTCTATCGTTTGCCATTAGTTTAATTCAAATATAATTAATAAATTTTTGTTTGTATTTTTGATATCCCTGTTTTATTTTTATTATTGATTGAGGTTAGAAAAAGTCATGACATTTGACATTGCTATGTTGCCATTTTATATTGAGCAGTTGCCTACATTATCATTATCCTTTTTTTTCCAACATCAAGTATTGATTGTTAGAGTGAGACACCTATATTAGGATTTTTTTAATTTTTCTTAGGTTGGTACCAACAATCAATAAGAGAGGGGCTGTTGAAAAAGAAAACAAAAAAAAAACAACTTTTCACAAGGCAAAGAAGCGCAACTTTTGTATTTTTTTTTCTCAGTACAATTCTTTATTTCTGCCCTCTTCAGAAGTTAATATTTCAATTGAAATTAAACAGTTCTAGTGCAAATTGTATCTTACCTACATAGAGGTAAGTAAAATTCTCTTACTAACACCATTTTGGGGGTTAAAAACTTGTTTTGCCTGCAAACAAACAAAATAAAAAAAGTTCTCAATGCATTTTCTGTATCCTAAAAATAGCTGTGGCTTTAGGGCTTTGTTAAACCTAATTTATCTTTAGCTTATTCATAATTAATCATGGAAGTTGAGCAGAATTACGAAGGGGATGATTATCATCACACCATTGAACCTATGGTTATTATAAACAGTCAAGAAGATGAAGAAGAAAAAAATAATGTAAGTTTACAATATTTATAATTTTGTTTGTGAATTGCACATTGCACCTTTATCTTGCATTTTGTTTGTGCATTTTGATTATTTATTATTTCATAGGTACTTTATTTATTTTTATTTATTTATTTATTTATTATAGGGGATAACCCCATTAACAGCAAAATTACAACAAAAAAGAATAATTTGGTTAGGTACCTATACATTATAAAACCTGCAGCAAGTAAGCGTTACCACTAAAAGAAAAACAAGAAACAACAAAAATTTAAACTTAAGAAAAACAATCAAGCTACTAAAAAAAAAAAAAAATATATAAATGATATACCTACTCAAGGAGAAAAAAAAAAAAAAACAAAAATAAAATAGCTCAACTATCAATCAACAAAAACAAAATTAATTAAAGTAATACCTCGAGTAATACTGTTCCACACCATTATTTTCATAAATTGCCCTTTTAAAAATCCCCATCGATACATTAAAGATATCAATATCATAACAATTAATTAAGAACATATACCTATGTAAAGGGCTGTAAACCCCATATGTTGTCCTATGGAAAGGAATATGGAACATACTATTGTTGCGTAGACCCTGATAATATGGTACATTTAAACCTACATAATTTAAGAGATCTGGGCTGTCAATCAACCCATTTACAATTTTATAAATGAAAATCGCACCAAACACATCACGGCGATTTCCCAAAGGACTTAGGGATAGTTGACGCTCAATATCATCATAGTCATGGTCAATGATTGTAGGAAAATCATACCTAAAAGCACATATTCTCAAAAATTTATGTTGCACTCTTTCCAATAATGCAGAGTGAACATGAAAAAAGGGATATTATAATTGCAGCTCAGGTATAATAAAAATGGGTTTTAATTCTTGGAAAAGTCCATTGGATAATCATGATAAAAAAATGTCCTTTTACATGCAGTGTAAAATCTAAAATTAAGCAAAAATGCACCCTCTTACGTTTTAATATTTTTCTGGAAAACTCAAGTGAAAACTTACTTACTTGAAGAAAATTGTGGAATTTTTTGGAGAAAAAGAAGAAACTTTGGTTGGAGCTGATTACACAAATATTTTCCAATGATAAATAACAAAATCTAAAATTATTTTTATAAAAATCTCTATGAAAATTAAGATTCAATATTGTCCCTTTGATATTTATTAAATATGTGTCCTACTAAGTTCCAGGACTATCTCTAACTTCTCATAATAAAATTATCCTCAAACGACCACTCACAGATCTTACAAGAAAAAATAAATTTCACGATTGTTATGAAATTGAAATATGTTATGCTTCTCGACCTCCTGAAGGTAAGTTCTCGTAGGCTCAGAAAGAACCTATGATTAGTTTCGGAGATACAGGACTGATAAAAAAAAGTAGTAGAAGAAAAATCTCCAGGATCTGCTGGTACATTAATTTAATTCATAACCAAAAATGATATATTTTTGGCATTTTTCGACAAGTTTTCAACCTTCAAAGCTTCAGATGACATTACTTTGGCATTTTTTCACCCGTTTTTAACCTAAAATATGTCATTGCCTGAACTCAACATATTTTGAAATGTTTATTTTTTGTTAACATTTTGTATGTTAACCCAGCCCTGTATCTCCGAAACTAATCATAGGATCTTTTTGGGCCTACGAGAACTTACGTTCAGGAGGTCGAGAAGCATAACATATTTCAATTTCATGACAATCGTGAAATTAATTTTTTCTCATAAGATCTGTGTGTGGTCCTTTGTTTTCATTTGCTAAAAATTCCTTTAAATTCCTACAAACAATAGGTATAGTCTGGCAAGTGGTAACTTGGAAGAGACGAAAGGGGGAAGAAAAGTGGGGCATAACCTAAGAATATTCACTGACACCTCAACTGACACCGCCTGATGACAACCATGTCTTTGGGTTCAGTGGCACCGAAAACACCAAGGAAATAAACCAAAAAAATATTAGGAAAAAAAATCTCGAGTTTCACGAATAATTACGCCACTGTTGCTGTCGTTCAGGCTCTAACCAATAGAATCATGTCTCTGAATAATCACGCCTTTCCGCTTCCTTCATTTCGTAATGTTGCCGGATTTTTTCCTATTTCAAAATACTACACGGCCCATATTGCAAAAAAAAATATGTCAGCAACTTATTTATTATTGTTTGTGTCAAGTTTGGCATAGCAGCAAATTCTTTTTGAGTTTGCCGTTTGGCTAGCCAGACTATACCTACTCACCTACTGAAATAATGCACCATATCATATCATTACTCTCCTAATTCAAAATATTCCTTTTCTTGTTGCTTAAACGTCTGTCAATATTTTTTAATTTAAGTGCTCTGTAGGTATGTACTTTCAAATATCCAAATCATAAGGTACTTACCTAGCTAGCTTGATAGGTACATACTAATATGAAATTTAATTTTAAAAAAAATTATGTTGAGATTTTGTGTTTAAATGATCAGTTGGAAAGCCCTCTCGGAACCCCCAAACCCCGAAACACTAAATTATTCTGAAATCTGAAGCCAAAATCTATTGAAAAAAGCACTCAGAAAATTGAAAAATTGATGAATTCACCCCAAATTGCTTAACACGATTTTATCTCAGGAACTATAAGTGCAAATGAACTGAAATTTTCAGGGATTGTAGTCCCTTTATTGGGATAAAATTCAGTGAAAGTTTCAGCTTTCTATCCAGAATAGAAAAAAAGTTATGACATTTCAAAGTTTCCCAAATTCTAAATCAAAAGGTAAGGACCTTCTTACTAAAACGATGAAATTTCAAATTTTTTTTGTTGAGATTTTGTATCCTAATGGTCAATTAACATCCCCCAAACTCCATACACTAAATTATTCTCAGATTTGAAGCCGAAATCTATGAAAAAAGGCACTCAGAAAAATAGAAAAATTGATAAATCACCCCAAATTGCTTAACAAAATTTTATCTCAGGAACTATAAGAGCAAATGAGCTGAAATTTCCAAGGATTGTAGTCCCTTGATTGGGATAAAATTCAGTGAAAGTTTCAGCTTTCTATCTATAATAGAAAAAAAGTTATGACTTTTCAAAGTTTTCCAAAATCTAAATCATAAGGCAAGTTACCTTCTTACTAAAACGATGAAATTTCAATTTTTTTTTTATCGAGATTTTGTATCCTAATGGTCAATTAACTTCCCCCAAACTCCAAACACTAAATTATTCTCAGATTTGAAGCTGAAATCTATGAAAAAAGGCACTCAGAAAAATTGAAAAATTGATAAATCACCCCAAATTGCTTAACACGATTTTATCTCAGGAACTATAAGTGCAAATGAACTGAAATGTTCAGGGATTGTAGTCCCTTTATTGGGATAAAATTCAGTGAAAGTTTCAGCTTTCTATCCAGAATAGAAAAAAAGTTATGACATTTCAAAGTTTCCCAAATTCTAAATCAAAAGGTAATTACCTTCTTACTAAAACGATGAAATTTCAATTTTTTTTTGTTGAGATTTTGTATCCTAATGGTCAATTAACATCCCCCAAACTCCATACACTAAATTATTCTCAGATTTGAAGCCGAAATCTATGAAAAAAGGCACTCAGAAAAATTGAAAAATTGATAAATCACCCCAAATTGCTTAACACAATTTTATCTCAGGAACTATAAGAGCAAATGAGCTGAAATTTCCAAGGATTGTAGTCCCTTGATTGGGATAAAATTCAGTGAAAGTTTCAGCTTTCTATCCATAATAGAAAAAAAGTTATGCCCTTCCAAAATTTTCCCAAATCTAAATCATAACCTTCTTACTAAAACGATGAAATTTCAATTTTTTTTTTGTTGAGATTTTGTTTCTTTATGGTCAATTAATATCCTCCAAACTCCATACACTAAATTATTCTCAGATTTGAAGCCAAAATCTATGAAAAAAGGCACTAAGAAAATTGAAAAATTGATAAATTCACTCCAAATTGCTTAACGCGATTTTATTTCTGAAACTCAGTCCAAATGAGCTGAAATTTTCAGGGATTGTAGTCCTCTATTGAGATAAGAATCGCTGAAAATTTCAGCTTTCTATCTATGATAGAAAAACAGTTACTGCGGTTTTCAAAATTTTCAAAACTCTAAATCATAAGGTTTTGATTATGAAGTAAGTTTTTCTCTAGGAACTTTTCAAAAGCGAATAATTTTCCCATTCACTAAATGACCATTTATAATTTTCGTGTTTCACCTTATATACGTAGATAAATACCTTGCATCTTTTTTTTTCTAGTTTTTGTCAAGCTTGCAATTATATAGCAAGCATGAGCTAAGGCTAAAAAAAATCCAAATATCTCAGGAGAGGTTAAAAAGGTACTACCTAAATTTATTCAGGCAAAAGGTATGTTCAATCAAAAAGGAATTAGATGATGGGGAAAAAATGCATGAAAACTATTAACAACAATTTGAAATAAAAATCATTAACAACTGAGATATTTAGGATACTGTATAAGTAGTGGTTTAATTTTTTTTAGTTATTTCAGTTGCAGCATTCATTAGATATTTGTAGTAGTTTGAGCATGAAATTAATGGGTAGGTATGTTGAATGAACTAAAAAATTCCATATCAAACAAAATACCTATTTTCTAGACAAATTTCAAAGATACTTCACAAGAAATAACAAAAACTTCTTCAAAAAACACGGGACCAGACGTATCAATATTCCCACTAAAAAAAAAACCTAAAGCCTCCTTCAAAATAAAACTGTTCGGTAATCGTTTTGCAAACAAAGCTGAATTTTTCGAAGAAGATGATTACAATAACACTCAAACCAAAACAATTAGAACTCCAGGTTGCAGAACTCCAGTGAGACTGATCACAAAGGAAGAAGCCTTGATGGCCGACGAACCTTATGCCAAAAGAAAAAGCAGCCCCTTGGAACAATGTCCTTTATGCAAAAAGTTTTTCAGGCGAATGAAAACTCACTTACTGAAACATGAAGTTTTGCAAAACCAAGAGGCTTGCGCTGGGCTGATTTGTATGATTTGCAATAAGGCTTTCAATAATCATACGTAAGAATTTTTTTTTTAATATACAACACCCTGTATTGACTATATTTTTAGAAATCTACAAATTCATATGAGGACTCACACTGGCGACAAACCGTACATTTGCGACGTGTGCGATAAATCCTTTTCGCAAAGCTGCAATTTAGTGAACCACATGCGAATTCATACGGGCGAGAAACCGTTTAAATGTCCGCACTGTGACCGGGCCTTTACCCAATCCGGCAATTTGAACAATCACATTCGGTTGCACACCGACGAGAAACCGTTCAAATGTCACGCCTGTGATAAAGCTTTCGTGCAAAGCGGCAATCTTAATTCGCATATTAGGAATAATCACAGAGTGAAACTGGGTAAGGTTAATATTGGAGGAGAAATGATAATGTCTTAATGTACTACAATTATGTGTTTGCCAGTTTGTTTTACCACATAAGATTTACAACAGCAATAGATATAAAATGCCTAAAATTGGAGTCGCCTTCAATCAAATACCTCTGAAGAATGTTGCTATACATGACAACATGTTGTATTTCAATCATTTCCACACTCATTTATGTGTAGAAAGTATTACTTTCCCGTACTCAGTGCAGTTATTAGGTGAATAACTATTTTTTGTGTAAAATTTATTTATTAGGTTTTGTCTTTTTTCTCAATTTTTGTGTGTAGCTCAGATTCGGAACTGTCAAAAAGTTGGAATTTTTAAGTTTTTGTGATTGCAATAAGGATAAAAAAATATGATAATATGTGATAAAAATTATGTTCGTTTGCTTGTCATTAAGGGCATTTTGTAAATAGTTTTGATGTAAGTAACTAAAAGGAGCGGAAAAAATGAATCAGTGCCTTTTTGGCATAAATATATTTGAAAAGACTTGGTAAATGTATGTAATATAATAACTAAGTAGATTTAATATAATATAATAATTATTCTTCCTATTTTCATTTTGACAGTTTTTAATTGTAGTGCCATGTATACAGATCTCATTTTTTTTTTACCTTTTTATTGTAACTAGTTTTAGGTATTATTATAGGGGAAATTAGTTGAGGAAATTCTCCCTAGATGTCTAGTCATCAGGTTTTAAAAATTTGTGTCCCCATTTTGTGTGATTTTAATATCATATTATATAAGGCAATATTTATATATTTTTTTGTGTGCAATTTATATGATCTCCATTTACTTATATACAAATAAGATGAAAAGCTAGAAACTTTACTTATGACGGCTGATGTTCCTGGAAAAATGTTTTAAAAATGGATAAATATATGTATTTGTTTTTCTCATGACGTGTATGGATGCTATATTATTTAATATCAATATTATAGAATTTTTTTGTAATCGATGAAACTATCAATAAATAAATAATTCTGACATATTGATTTATTGAAATTGGTACAAAACCATGTATAATTGTTATCACAGTTAGTTGCAATGTTATCACAAGTTAGTTTATCGCATGAAATAAAAAATGCAAATTAATGAATCAGTAAAATTATTAAAAGAATTTTTTAAAATTATCATTTCGAACTACTTTCGCTGCCACTGTCAGGGAACCAACCCTTTCGACCGGGTTCCGAAGGTTTGCCCCATTTCGCCCTGGAAGCTCCTCTAATTTCTCTTGTAGTTTCCCTTGTAGTGGTTCCTCCAGGAGTTTGAGCAACCCTAGAAACAATTTCAATTATAAATGATAATAATACAGGACGAGTAAGCAAAAATATTCTCTCAAAGTCTTATATTTTCGCCTCAAAATGTTGAGACATGTCATATTTAGTCTTATAGAATGTTGATTTTCAAAACCTTGTAACTTTACAATTTTTCATTCAATTAATTTGAACTTTTAGTATGTTTTGCCTCTAATCCTCAAAAATATTCCCTCAAAGTCTTATATTTGCGCCTCAAGTTGTTTTTGAGCAAATGTTCCATATGTCGAGGCAATGTCATATAGAATGTCTTATAAAAGAAAATGTTCATCTTTAAAAACCTTGTAAGTTAAGATATCATTGATTATTTTCATTACAAGTTTGTTCGTATGCCATTTGGTCTCAAAAAAGGTCCAGCAACATTTCAGGAAAAAAACGTTTTTTGTTTTAGTTTAAAGAACGGTATAACGATTAGGTACCCTATAGATTGGATTCGTTACAAATATCATAAAGATACAATTTGTGGGGGTCTTGACATCAGGGTCCTTATTCTCGAAATAGGGGACTTAGGGGAGCAGCGTTCTTATGAGACCGAAGGTTCTTTTGTTTGTTGCCCATATTCATTTTTCCATAACACTGACAAAGATAGAGCAATCGTTTTCATGAGAACACAGTTCCCCGGTTTTGAGCATAGACATCCAGAACCAACATCAGTTTATGCATTAGATATATCTGTGTTAAGATACCATTGATTGTTGTCATTACAAGTTTGTCCGTATGCCCTTTGGTCTCAAAAATGCCCCATCAACATTTCGGCTAAAGAACGTTGTTTGTTACTTTGAAGAACGGTATAACGATTACCCTATGGATTGGATTCGTCACAAATATCAAAAAGATACAATTTGTGAGGGTCTTGTCATCAGGGTCCTTATTCTCAAAATAGGGGAGCAGCGTTCTTATGAAAAAGAAGGTTCTTTTCTTCGCCGCCTATATTCATATTTCCATAACACTGACAAAGACAGAGCAATCGTTCTCATGAGAATAAAATTCCCTGCATGCATGTCATATTTAGTCTTATAGAAGAAAATGTTTATTTTTAAAAACCTTGTAACTTTGCAATTTTTCATTCAAATAATTTGAATTTTTAGTATGTTTTGCCTCTCTAAGCCCCAAAAATATTCCCTCAAAGTCTTATATTTGCTCCTCAAGTAGTTTTTGAGTGATTGGTCAAAACGTGGAGGAATGTCATATTTCGTCTTATAGAAAAAATGTCCATTTTTAAGAAAATTGAGTTTGAAGTTATTGACTAAATTTCAACACTTTGAGGCTCAAACTCAAACTCAATTTAGCACAGGTTTATAGAGAATTTATTGCTCTTTCTAAAAGTGTATAATTTATTTTGATTTGGTCAAATTTGAATGGAAATATTGAAAAATTACCTGCTCGTTTCCATTGTTTCCCATGTACTTTCAGCACCTCTACCAGAAGTACCACTGTCCAATCTCACTCTGGGCAAATGAAACGTTTTCAATTGACTCCTTTGCAACTTGGGCGTTTGTTCTGGTGTGGTACCAACTTCACTGGGTGTATCTGGTACCATTAACCATCTATCGCGTTCAGTAAATTCACTCAAACTTCTGCCTAAGCTGGGTTGACTTAACGAAAATGGATAATCTGGTACTAATTTGTGCCCAAAATCTACCGTCATTTCTGTCATTGAACGTAAGTCGGCTTCACTTCTATGTAGAGATCTATATAACACAAAAAATAAATACATCATTACAAAAAAATTGAAATTACCTTCTAAAAACAGAAGACGCATACAATTGCGGCTCTCTCACACTACTACCATCATCATCTGAATCATATTCAACCAAAGTAGGCAAACTTTTACGTCTTGGATACAAATACTTTTGATCAGGCCCAATATCTTCAGGAGTCAAAATCCTAATGATCACGTTCCATTTAGGTGGTTCAAAAATGTGCTCGAATCTTTGATCGTGACTGATTCGTTCGAAATCTTCACGAACTACGGCCTCTGTTAGTAGAGTTCTAAGCGTCGATTCGGTTGTAATTATTTGCCTCCATTTCATTCTATCGGTCATGGTTAGTTGGGAATTAAACGTTTCGGCAGTTTCGATTACTTGAACATCATCAGTTGGCTCAATTGGTTGTAGTACTCTAATTAAAACACTCCAATTGGCAACCTAAAAAACAATTGTATTAATAAAAATATCGAATCAATAATTATTATTATTGTTATACTTCTGGATTCGTTTTTGGAACATTAAATACTCTTTCCCATTCTTCCCTTTCAGTCACCTCTCTTGAAGTTTCTGTAGTTCTTACATCTGTAGTAACAATTCTTTGTTGGCCTAAGCTACCAACCAATTCAGGTGCACTAAGTGGTAATTTATTGTCATCGATTTGTGGTTGAGGTGGTAAACTCATCACCCTAAGAGGTTTCGGAGTTGACAGGCCAGAAGCTGAAGAAATATCGGAAAAGTCTTCCCATTGAGGCGGCTGAGCTTGGACGGGATAATTTTTAATAGTGACATCCCATTGTTGAGGCAATTTAGTATGATACTCGGTTATGAGTCGTTTATGTTTGTCAATGTCTTCGATGATTTTTTTTTCTTGGATTGTCCTCAAATAAACATCATCAACGAAATGCTGGGTGATATCTGGATGATGCACTGTTGCCACTGGTTCTTCAACTTCCAAAATTTCTTCTTCGATTGGTTGGTAAGCCATAAGGCTAGCACTTCTTGAACTATCAGTAAAACTTTCGGGAGGTGTTGGAGGTTTGGGTTTTTTAACTTTAACTTGTACATTAAACTTGGGAGAATCTTCCTTGATAGCCATAGGTAATCTTGGTATAGTGCTTGGTATAGCAGTTACTTGTTCGACTTGTTGCTCTTGTACATAATCGTCACTAGAAAAGCTTGCGTTTTCGTGGACAACAGCATGATCTACAATTTCCGATGAGGATTCACCTGGATACTCGGAACCAGAGGATTCATGGATGGGTTCTAAAGCTACATGTGAATGTGTTTTAATGGAAAGTTGTGCGTATTAGATGCTTACCTAGTGAACTTTCTGATAGTTTTTCAATGTCACTTTCGTCAGGAGTAATAGTCCTTATTACTGTTAATGGTTTTCGTTTCAAACATAAATAGGAAGCGGCCAAGCCTAAGAGGAATAGTGACAGAAATAATATGCCGCATATGATTAGGAGGACTGGCAAAGGTGAAAGAGGTGTCAATGCTTTTGGTGCTACAATTTCTTCATGTCTAAAATAATTTCAAGTATTAAGAATTCATGGATTTCTAGATGGAATTAACTGATGTGAAGTTATAAGACAAAAGTTATCAAGATATTGATTATTGTCATTACGAGTTTGTCCGTATGCCGTTTGGTCTCAAAAACACCCCATCAACATTTCAGCTAAAGAACGTTACTTGTTTGACTTTAAAGAACTATATAACCATCGAAGGGTATAAGGATTACCCTATGGTTTGGAGTCGTCACAAATATCAAAAAAATATAATTTGTGGGGGTCTTAACATCAGGGTCCTTATTCTCGAAATAGGGGAGCAGCGTTCTTATGAAAACGAAGGTTCTTTTCTTTGTTGCCCATATTCATATTTCCATAACACTGACAAAGACAGGGCAATCGTTCTCATGAGAACACGGTTCCCTGGTTTCGAACATAGACATCCAGAACAAACATGCATGCATAAGATCTATGTGTGTTGGGATATCATTGATTATTGTCATTATGAGCTTGTTCGTATGCCATTTGGTCTCAAAAACGCCCCATCAACATTTCAACTAAAGAACGAAATAACAGCCGAAGGTTCAGTGGCGTCGTTTTTTTTATTTTTGAATATATATTTTACCTTTGTTGGTTGTAAGAATGACTTATTAGGTGCTCCTTAAGGATATTACATGAAAATTTTCTATTTTTTCTTATTATTAGTAGGTATGTACGGTCTTTGAAATTTTTAAGGGTGAAACTGAGTCTTAGAATTTCTCATTACTGTCCATACTAATAGGATCAGATTATTACCAGACATTATTTTAATCACAAAGAACATTTGAAAAAATATACCACACCCCTGCGCCCCTACGGTCTTTGAGATTCTTAAGGGTGAAATATGTTTTTTAGCATTTCTCAAAAACTGTCCGTATTGACAACCTGAAATATCTGGTAATGATTTGAACCTATCAGTTGATTTGAACCTATCAGTACGAACAGTTTTTGAGATATGCTGGAAACAGATTTCATCCTAAAAATTTCAAAGACTAAAGACCGTAGGGGCGCAGGAGTGTGGTATATTTTTTTTTGAATGTACTTTGTGATCTAAATAATGTCTGGTAATAATTTGAACCTGTCAGTACGGACAGTTTTTGAGAAATGCTAATAAGAAATAGTTTCACACTCAAAAATTTCAATGACCATATAGATATGTACTTTCAGAATTTTCATGTGATATCCTTAGGGAGCACCTAATAAGTCGATGTTACGTTACAAGAAATAAAGGTAAAATATATATTTCAAAAGAAAAAAACCGACGCCACTGAAATTTCGGCTGTTTCCAGAAAATTGTCTGATAACTTCACATCAGTATGGAATTACCTAAAAAGCTGAGTTTGTGGTTCCTGTACAATGGGTGTAGGATATCTGCATACTATAGTAATAATTTCATCACCATCCATTTCCAAACCAGGATGAAACCTTACCGCAATGTTGTTGGTAAAAACACGTTGCGGATCCTAAAATTTCCATTATATTAGCAAAAATCTACCATAAACAAAAAATCCTTACTTGTTTGGTACCGCATCCTTTGAGCGGCAACTCCAAGTGGTACTTGAGCGCACCTTTCCCAGATACTTGACAAGCAGAATTCCTATCAAAATCCGCATAAACTGTCCCGTAAAAAGGTTCGTGAAACTTCAAATCAATCTGCATTGAGCCTGCGGCACAATTTAAATCAGCCCTGGTTTTGTTAAGGCTTATTTCAGGGCTGAGATCGTCTAGCTGGGTGATTTTGCCCCCTAAAGTTGCCTCAGGGGGGAGACCTTCTCCTATGTAGGCGATATTGTTCGCAAGGTCCGCATAGTTTGATTGAGGAAAGGCTTCGAGGTAATTTAGGATTGTGCATGTGAAGAGGAAAAATTTGAACATTGTTTTAGCTGCAACAAAATAGTGTTGTGGGTGCGGGAATTGTAATTAAACGCTTCATTGGCCTTCAGTTAAATGAAGTGAATTTGCATTTTTCCTAGTAAAACTGTAAAAATATGTTACATAAATTTTTGATGACGCGTTCTTTGTATTTTAGGTGCGTGGGAATCGCTACCATATTTGGTCAGTGAGAAGGTAAAAGTTTAGTTGTTTAGTTTTGAGTCAATTTTTGTTTTAAAATGAAGAAATGCAATAATTAGTGTTACATTTACTATACCTACTTGCTTTCAAACAATAAATTATTTTTGAAATAAAAGTACCTTTATTAAGTAAAACATAAATCCACAATTATTCTTTCACTTTTACATCACTCTTTTCACAAAGAAAAACTAGAAAGTGCACCTGAAATAGAGCAGATATCGCACACCATGTACTTGCTCAGAAGAAAACAGTCTGATTTGAATTTTTTTTCTGGTGCCACTCTTTTACCAAACACCTTGGGATGGCCATAAAAGTGTTAAGGCGAAAACCCACGTCGCGCAAAAGAAATACCGATTTTTTTTTTGCGCCTACACAGACTTAAAGATTCTTTTGTGTATTAGATTTTATTTCAATGGGAGGAAACATAAGGTAGATTAGACAGTTATTTAAAGTTACTTTATTAGATCTAAAAAACGCACACAACTTAAAATTAAGGTTTCCAAAGACGCACCAAGCCGTCTTCACTGTAAGAGCAGATTAAGTTCTGATGGGGATGATGGGCAATACCAATAACGTCTTTTTCATGAATCTAAAAGAGAACAAATATTCAATTTACATACAAGTAAATTCGCTAGGAAAACGTTCTGAGACCACATGATTTTTATTTAAATTTGAATAGCTCTTCAATTATCATTATCTTTGATTAGGAGAGATCAAGAAGGGGCAAACCACCTGGGAATTCTTTGCCAAAACTGTGGAGAATTTAGAGGAATTTTTAGAGAATTTGAAGGAATGTATGGGAAATTGGATGAATGTATAACAAAATGGGGGAAATTTATTGCTCTTAACACTGAGCGTAATAAAAATGGGAAAATATATTTTTTATTATGAATAATTTAGGGAATTTGTAACAGGCATTTGCAGGGACTTCACGAGGAATTTGGAGGAATTTTTGGGGACTTTATTGGAGGAATTTGCAGGAAGTTTGAGGAATTGTTTGTACAAAATTTCCAAATATTCCATAGACCTTGTTCACCTTGGTAAAATTCAGAGTGAAAGAACCTCCAAAAAAAACTTTGAAGCTTGAAAAGCTAAAAACTATTCAACCTGCATTGAAATTATTCACCAAGGATTTCTAGAAGATTTAGATGGCTTTATTTCAAGCCTAATTAGGTTAAGATCGGATTGAAATTAACAAAGATGTGAGATAAAATGTGGTTCAATGTGATTTTGGAAAAAATCAAGCTTTAAAAAATGACATTGAAGGACGTTTTATTTTATTTTTGAGAAAAGTTTGAAGAATTGGATAGAAATTATGCAAGTGAATAAAGAAAATATTGAAATTTAGAACAAAAAAAAGTTCCTTCTGATCAGTCACCTTTAAGTAGCAAATTCTGATCATTCACCTTTAAGTAGCAAACCACCTAGGAATACTTCGCTGTAAAACTGTGGGGAATTTAGAAGAGTTTATGGGGAATTTGGAGGAATATGCAGGAAACTTGAAGAAAATTATGGAAAATTGGACGAATGTATGAGAAATTGGGGGAATTTATTGGTTTTAACACTCAGCGTATAAAAAAATACATTTCTTAACATAAACAATTTTGGGGATTTTTATGGAATTTGTAACAGCATTTGCAGGGAATTTGCCAGCAATTTGGAGGAATTTGTGGGAAATTTGGAGGAATTTGCAGGTAGTTTGAAAAAAATTTCGCACAAATTCGGGGAGTTGGTTTACCCTGTGGGAGAGATCTAGATGACAACAAAAATTCAAGCACCTGGAATAAATAAAAATTTCATCTAATATTACTTTAAATTGATTAAAACTTGTTTCAATGTACCCAATGCTGATTGTAGACTGTAATTATTTTACGTTTCATCATTTAAAAAACAAACATCTGGCCTCATAACAGTTTATACAGGGTGTTCCGAAATTAATACACCAAATTTTTATGGCATATTCTACGTCGAAAATAAGCCCTAGTTTCCTATATAAACATATGTCTGGAAAAGCTTCCTTTCCGAGATACAGGGTGTTGAAATTCTAAGAAAAATAGTTATTTATGCAACAAGTGTGTAAAGTGAACTCATGTGATTGTCGCACTCGCTTTCGGCTCGTGCGTCAAAATTCACATTCGTGAAAACAGGAGCTTTACACACATATCGCATACAAAATTTTTTTTACTTCCAATCAAATATGTTCAAAAAATAGATTTAGACAAATACTTCACTAGTGTGTGAAGTAATTTACCAGAAAAATACTAAATTGACAGTAGTCATCATCTGTCATTGACATTACTTTACGCACTAGTGCGTGGAGTGGAATTTTGCATCTTCTGAATAGTGCGTAAAGTGAGTACTTTATGCACGGTAGTAGAAAAAAATATTTTTCTATCATAATTTTCAAACCACTCTAGATATTTAATTTAAATTTTGTACACTGCTTTCAAGCAGCAAAAGACATTTTTTGATGTGAAATATTTAAAAAAATATATCAGTGACGTCACAGAAATAATTTGAAACTTTAGGTGTTTAATGTTTAGCATTTTAATCATAATTTTCACAATTTCGCCATGCCACAAAATGGTTCTTTATTTTTTATTTGATAATGGTGGATCTTCCAGAAAAAAGTGTAGAGATCAAATTTCTTCCAAATTGAATGGGGATTTCAAAAATGATTTTTATTTTAGAAAAAAGCAGTGGCGCACCATTTTTTTCTTGAAAAATATTCCATAGAAATCTGGTACGGACGTCACTGGTAATTTTTTTAAAAATTAATTTCAAATCAAAAAATGTCTTTTGCTGCTTGAAAGCAGTGCACAAAATTTCAATGAAATATCTAGAGTGGTTTGAAAGTTATGATAGAAAAATAGTTTTTTTCTTAGAATTTGAACACCCTGTATCTTGGAAAGTAAGCGTTTCCGGACATATGTTTATATAGGAAACTAGGGTTTATTTTCGACGTAGAATATGCCATAAGAATTTGGTGCATTAATTTCGGAACACCCTGTATAGGTAATGTACACCTACATTGAGTGTTCTTTCCAATTTGCCTGTTATAGTAGAGAAGCAGTAGAGCACCATGTCCTCGCCAACACAATAAATCCAGTCCCCATGAGGCGAAACTGTTGAACAAACAAAATCGCCACCCTCTCGCTTACCACTAGCAAATGATCGCACAATCTAAACAAAAAATCAAATTCAATTATTGGCCCAATCATAAAGTAAACTAATTCTCACCTGTCCTTGTATATTAACAATAACAACAGTATTGCTCCTATTACAAACGACAAAATGTTCAGAATTTTTATGGAAATTGTGAATATTGTTTACAGTACAATCTGCTGATCCTAGTGACTTGAATGTACTCACACACTCTGTAGTTTTGATGCTCCAAACTTTCACAGTACCATCAGAAGAGGCACTAAATTAAACCCAATCATTAAAGAAAAAATTTGCCCTTTTAAAACCTTACCTCAATATATTATGCCCATCTTGTGTAAATATAACTTCATTAACAAAAGAAGTGTGCCCTTTGAATTCTTTTAAAGTTTTTCCAGATTTTAAACCATGAATCCTGATGGTGTGATCAAAAGAAGCGCTCAAAACTTGACTGTTGTCCCTTGAAAATTGCAAACAAGTTATCCCTTTTGTGTGGGCCTTTTCAATTTTCCTCAAACACTGACCAGTGCTGATCCTCCACACACTTATTTTGCCTGTCTGAGAGCCTGAAACCAACATTTCGCTGTCTCTAGAAAAGGCCATACACAACACAGCATGTTCCATCATCATGAAATTCTCTTGGGCTTGATATTTTAAGTCTTTACGAATCTTGCCTGTAGTGAAATTCCAAACTTCAATTATCCCATCCACGCTGCCTGTAATCAAGTATTGACCGTCTGGTGAAAATCTGGCACATTCAACATGAGATTTTTGGCCGAATTTGATTTGTTTGGCCATTTGAGTTGGGAAAGTTTCATCTTCTTGTTCGCGTACAGCTGCTTTGCCTCTGAACAAATCTATGGTGGTACCAGGAGGGAGTAATCCTTGGTGCTGTTGCCATTTCAAGGCCTGGCCTAGCAAAGCTAGCAAACGTGAAGAAGGTACTACAGATACTTCTCCAGATAGAGCATGTGCAATTGCTGCTCTACGTTTTTCCTTGCTGCCACCATCTGGATAAGCTTCTCTTGGATCGAAATAGGATCTGGCTAAAAGGTTTTCTAGGTGGATGTAGCGTTCAGGTTCGTTTTGCTTGAGCATTATCATAGGGTCTGTTTGACGTAATAGGGATCTGGCTGCTCCTAATTCACGCAGTTCAATTAATTCCAGGACAATTTGTTCATATAGATCGATAAGTTTTTTGTCAGGGAGTTTTAGGGATTGGATGGCTTTTAGGACTGTGTCCCAGTGGCCGTTGTTGATGTCTGCACAAAATCCGTCTACACTGTCTACAGTGTTTAGGGTCACTGCAGTTTCTTCCTGCAAAGAAAAATGATTACTATACTGGTTTAATTTGGGGATTATTTTTACTTGTAAAGTGTGCAAAGTCCTGTAGAGGTTGGATTCTTTGAGGTACTGCTGTATGAGACGGATAACGCTAAAAATAAGTTTTAGGGCTGGTTTTTTTGAAGTTTTATAACAAAACTTACTCTGCTGATTCGATTTCTATAGACATTTTATAGGGGTTTCAATTGGAAATGCGGAAAATAATGAATTTTTCAGGGAAAATCGATGAAAATCACAGGTAAACAAAAATTTGATACAACATAACCTCAAAAATTGATTGGTACCAGTGTTGCCAAATCCTACAAAAATAAAAATCTGACATGGATTGCTGTCAAACAACTGTCAGTTGAGAGGCCATTTTGTTTATTTCATTATCCGAGAAAATATTGTCCGAGTACGATGGGTGCTTATTTGTGCAAATTATATTCCCTTATTAGAATTTCTAAGGTAAAAGATTTCATTTATTTAATTACTTTCATTTTGTTCATGTGAAATTAATGTAATTGAACTCGGAGAAGGTCAATGAAGTGGGTTATCCTTTATCCTATCCTTGCTCATTTTTTTAAATATAATTGTTTAAAGTTTCCTCATAAATAATTACAGTGACATGCCAAATATTTTGATAATATTAATACTTTTTAATATATTAACCAATACAATCACTTGCAGCTACATACCATATTGTTTTACAGCAGAATCAATAAGTTTCCCCTTTTTTTTCCAGATCAGTACAATGGACAAGGCCTACTCTTGAGAATCGTCAATAATCCAGAAATACTAAATTTTAACAGATAATCAAATTTAAATAAACATTTAATTCACCATCCCTACTTATATAAAGTAATTTTTCAATAGTTGCAACATTTTCTCGAGGTCTAGTGTATTTTTAAACTAGCTTATTTTCATATAGTTTTTTGGTTGATAAGTAATGGCAACTCAAGAGGACAGGTCTTTGTCAGCCGGAATGTCATTTCCCAAATGGATGAAGAGCCGAATGGATCATAAGTAAGTATATTTTGTACTCTTGCAGACTTGATTTCTTTGTAATTCTAAAATAGGCATTGAAAGAAAATACCAAGGTAAACTGCCATTCTAGCCAAGCTTTGTTCTTTGTTCTAATGCATCCGACCGCTTCGAGAGCAATTATTTTGTGCAATTATTGCCCAATGTTAAAAGAAAGCTCGGTTACTAGGCAATAATATTTTCTCAATATTATTGCCAATAATTTATCTGTTGTGAATTTACTTATCTTGAATTTGACCTAAACTGTTAAAAAAAAAAACAATAACATTAATTCTCTACCTAATTGTTTATAAATATCAGATTTCTGAAATGTTGGGCCTTTATTATTGTTGTGAAAACTCAATTTTTGCTCCATATATTATTATAATTTATTGACACATATTTATTTTTGTATAATCTTGTTTGTTGGTGACCTTCACATGTTCCGCCATAAGCCACATTATTGAATTATTCAACTTAACTGGTTATTGGATATTCCTAATTTTCCAAATAATTTTTTTTGTCTGTATATGAGAGACATAATATAATAACTAATCCAGTGGTCAGCTAAAAGTCCATTTAGAAAGAGTTATTGGCCTCTAATAAGCAATCTTCTCAAAAGCTCTCATCAAGGGGTTTCTAGATGTCCACACAAATCTTTAAGCAAGACTTCAACAGTATATACCTTACAGGACTTGAATAGAACCATGCAGAATTATATGATATTTCAACAAGTCCATACAATACTTCAACAACACTATAGTATTTCAACAAGAGTACCTATAGTGTTTGAACAGGACTATACAATATTTCAACAATCAACAGTACAAATCTGATAATTCCTAATACCCATTGGCTCTCATTAAAAAAAAAAACACACAATAATGCTAGCCTTAAAAGTTTAATTAATTTGAATTTATGAATATGTAAATTATTTTTCTATTCCAGGTTCTTGAATTTTCCTTATCTTTGATTTAAGAGGAATTTAGATGGAAACAAAAATTCAAGTGACTGGAATAGACCTAAATTTAATTTAAATCCTGAATTCCTGACCATAAGCAAAAAATAATCAATAGTAATATAACTAGTGCAATGGAAATTATTGATAATTTTTGGGAAATTTGCCCGAATGCATTTTTAGTTGAAATAGAGCACGAGTGCACGTAGTGCACGAGTGCCTTTTTCAGTTAAAAACGCATGAGTGCAAATTTGTCGAAAATTATAAATATATGTCCATTGCACGAGTTGTATTTAATGAGAGAATTTCATAAATCAAACATTTAAATTTTTTGTCAAAAAATGTCAAAACACCAGTTTTCGCACCAGTTAGTATGCAATTATCTGATAATTTGCACTAGTGGTTCAAATCAACAATCAAAACATGTCAATTTATTGTTGGAATACCAGTTTTGACAGATGCATGAAATTCTCACAATTATTGAATTGTCTAACACGATTTTATTTGTGAAACTATAAGTCCAAATGAGCTGAAATTTTAAGGGGTTGTAGTCCTCTGCCAAGATAGGAATCGCTGAAAATTTTAGCTTTCTATCTCTAATTAAAAAAAAAGTTATAATATTTTAAAGTTTACAAAAATCTAATTCATAAGGTAGCTAAGTACCGGGTGTTTTTTTATATATTAACACCCCACCTACAGCCTTTACCTTTACAGGTAGAAGAAGGGTGTAAATACAAAAGTTGTACAGTTTTGGCTGAATTTTTAGAAACCATGCATGGTCAGAAACAAAATTTGAATGTCAGAAATGTGAAATTTTGCATGCTTCCAGCTTTTTTAAAATTATATGTATTTCATTCTATATTCTTGAAGAGCACAATGTTCCGATTCCAAAAATATATAGTTTGTCTATATTTAATTGAACAGTCTCTCATATAAGCGACCCTAAAAATTGTAAAAATGTTATCCTACTACTTATTTTGTGAATCCTTCTACCTGTATAGGTGAAAGCTGCAGGTAAAATTTGAGGTACTTGGTTTCTCTGATAGTATTTTTAAAATTTTTAGAATCAAATATGTTGGAGACGACTCAACCAAATATAAAAAAACTATATAGTTTTGGAATCGGGAAATTGTGCTCTTCAAGAATATAGAACCAAATATAGCGCATCCCATTTGAAAAAAGCTGAAAGCATCAGAGGCGCCGACTTTTGAAAGTTTTCATGGGTGCAGGATAATAACTTTATAAGGAGAAGGGGGAACCTTGCCGCAAGCTAAATAAATTTTCAGGATGCCACGCCCAAAAACGTTTATTTCATAGTGTTTCAGATTGCTAAATTCGAGCAACACTATAGAGAAACCCTCGTTCCATTTTTGTATTCGATTAAAAATTCCAATGAAAATCTCCGGTTAAGGTATAGGGTATATCACATAACATCTACTCAAAATGTTACGTTGAATCCAAATATGCAATCACATATAGGGTGTCTCATTCAAAATAAGCAAGTTGGCTCTTTGACGTCTACTTCCGGTATAACCGGAAGAGCCACCATCTTGAAAATATTTTAGCCAGGTTGCCCCCAATGACATTAGTATACTGTCAAATTTCCACGTATTTTCTGCATACAGTTTTCTATAATAGATCGATTTGGTTCCCGATTCAACACCCTGTATAAATACAGTACAGTCGAAGAAATAGGTGACTACAAGTGCAAGAAAAACAAAATTAAAAAGTACTTGGCTTACCAAGTACCTACTTAGCTTAATAGCAATTATCAATGCCAGTAACAAAAATAAAACACAAATTGGGTAGGTAGGTACTTCTTCATAATAACATTAAACATGAATCTAATAAAATGCCTTGGTCTCGTCGATACCTCATACAATTCAGTCAATAAAAGAAGTTGAAGACATTTTTGGTACCTACCTACTCATAAAATTCATATAGAGAATAGCAACATAAAGCCATAGAGCATAGCACTACCACTTGTATAATTCTTATACAAAGTTGTATATGGTATGATACTGATACTACCACACGGAACGGAATGACCATTACACATGTTTGTAGGCATTCCCCACGAGAGCTCCCATGGGTGCTCTGCACCCATGAGAAGTTGCTCATGGGTGCACCTGCCTCAATGCCCCCATGTAGTCGGCGCCAGCGGAAAGCATGCAATATTTCACATGTCTGACATTCAATTTTTGTTTCTGACCATGAATTCTAAAAATTTAGTCAATACTGCACAACTTTTGTATTTACATTTACACCTTTCATCTACCTGTGGGTGGGATTTCAATATATAAAAAAACACCCTGTACTTTAGTACTACTAAAATGATAATATTTCAAATTTTTTTATGTTGAAATTTTGTATCTAAATGATTATTGGGGACCCCCCAAACTCCATACACGTAATTATTCTGAGATTTGGAGCTGGATTGTATGAAAAAAGGCACTCAGAAAAACTGAAAAATTGCTAAATCACCCCAGATTGCTTAACGCGATTTTATTTCTGCAACTATAAGTTTAAATGAGCTGAAATTTTCAGGAATTGTAGTGCTCCATTGGGATAAGAATCGCTGAAAATTACAGCTTTCTATCTACGGGTGTATATTTTAAGTGATACCACTATTGCTATATCCGAAACGGTAAGAGATACAAGGGCGGTTAAATCGGAAAAAAGCTGCCTTTTTTTATGCCCATTTACGACTCGTTTACAGTGTTGTCAAATTCCTCCTAGTTTATGAAATACAGGGTGATTTCCAAAAAACGCCAAAAAATATTTCATTAATTATTTCGAAAACTATTCATTTCCGAGACACAATTCAAATTTGAAAATTTTATAATTTTTTTCACTCTACAACATGGCATCTTCAAATTTTGAATCCGACGTTTCGTGATCAAACTACCATCATCAACTTCATTTTTTTAAATACGGACTCGAATTATTTATGTCATTATTAGAAAGCGCCCTTCTTACCCGTCATAAAAATGACATAAAAAGTTCAGGTCCGTATTTAAAAAAGTTGATGATGGTAGCTCGATCACGAAACGTCGGATTTAAAATTTGAAGATGTCATGTTGTAGAGCAAAAAAAATTAAAAAACTTTCAAATTTAGATTGTGTCTCAAATATCAATAGTTTTTGAAATAATTGATGAAATAATTTTAGGCGCTTTTTAGAATTCGCCCTGTATTTCGTAAACAAGAAGGAACTTGGCAACACTGTAAACAAGCCTAGAATGGGCATCAAAAAAGGCAACTTTTTTCTAATTTAACCATCCTTGTAGCTCTTACCGTTTCAGATATAGCAATAGTGGTATCACTTAAAATATACACCCTGTATAATAGAAAACAAATTTGGATTTTTTAAAATTATTAAAAATACAAATCATAAGGTAGGTATCTTAGTACTAAAATGATGAAATTTTCAATTTTTTTTGTGTTGAGATTTTGTATCTAAATGATCATTCGGGACCCCCCAAAACTCTATGCACATTGATAAATAAAACTTGCCGGCTTGAATAAATTATGGAAGTTTATCTTGAATGATTAACTACTACTTGAGCTTCTTTCTGCCCTTATACAGTGTATCCCACGGTGGATGGCGTATTAGACGTTTATGGAGAACTAAAAAGCGAATCATTTTGAAAATTTGGCAACCGGGATAAACGACCATGATCTACACTTTAAAAATATTTTTGACCATGCGGTGTTGCCGCTTCTACTCTAAACTAGTGGCAACATCACTATTTTAAATGGAACACCCCGTATTTAATTGCATATTTGGATTCTACGTAAAATTCTGAGCAGATTTCATGTGATATACCCTATACCTAAGTTCAACTGTTTTGGAAATATTGACCGTTGAAAATTGACTTTTTGCAACTTTGACAGGCTGTAAAACCTAATTGGTTAATTTTAGAGGAAAACCGATTTCACATTCCTATCTTAGATTTTGATAAACTATCATTTAACACCAACTTTGAACTTAACCAGAGATTAAATTTAACTGAAATTTTTAATCATGTATTTAATTCTAAGTTGGTGTCAAATGATAGTTTATAAAAATCTAAGATAGGAATGTAAAATCGGTTTTCCTCTAAAATTAACCGTTCAGGTTCTA